ATTTTTATGTTTTTAATTTTATTTTATTTTTAAATTGAAAGTAGATAATAAGAAATTTCATTTTTTTAAAGATAATAATGGCTAGTTTTTCTTAGGAATATTTGTCAAAATTAATCAACAAAAAATAAACTAAAATTTATATATAAAAAAATATGAATTTTTGAAGGCTAATGAGTAAACACCCCTCAAAACTATATAGTCATTTTTAACACCTGTAATTTTATTTATTTTTATAATTCAACCCTTCCATTTCTTCTTCTTCTTCTTTTTTTTGTTAAATAATATGAGACTTGAACATGTTTTCTTATAAATTTTCAAAAATATCATAAAAAATAGGACAAAAAATATTGCTATTTTTAAGAAAAATTGGTAATTCTTTTTTAAAGTGAAAATAATTAATAAAATATTACTAGTACATCATGAATTTTTTTAATAAAAAAAAAGTAAAAAAAAAAACACATGGTCACCTCATCTGTCTCTCTCTCATCTCCTCTCACCGTTGACCTACTAGATCCCAGACAAAACTCGAGCCATCACGTTAGCACATTTCATGGACCACACCTCCCTCTTTCCCAGCAATAAAGAAACAGCAGTAAACCATCAAAGAAACTCCATGCAAATCAACAACAACCACCCATTGAACCAGAAACAAACTTGCAGCCTCTCCTCCTACCCCGATCAACACAACAATACCAATCGATATGCAGAAACACAGCCACCGTGATGGTAGCCACAATCATATGCAGAAACATAGCCACCGACTTCATGTATTTGATATTGCGGTTGTTATTATAGTTGTGATTTAAAAAAAATTATTTAAAGTTATTTTATAAAAAATATTTTTAGTTGAGGTTGATTTAAAGAAATATATGTTTGATTAAAACTACAGTTAAAATTAAGATTGAACAAAAAGTAATAGAAATATATGTTTGATTAAAACTGCAGTTAAAATTAAAGTTGAATAAAAAGTAATTTAATGTGTTTGGTTGAAAAAATACTTTTTAAATTGAGAATATGTGTGTGTGTGTATTGATGATTTCTAATTTAAATATTGTAAATTTAGCTATTACTATTACATCACATCATGAAATAAATAATATTTTATATAAAATATTATATATTATTTCATTAAACTATCTACAATTCCATTACGTATGACATATATCCGATAAGGACTGTAGTTTTTATAAATTTTTTAAGAGCACAACAACATTAGGTAAAATATAATCAGGAACACAATTGAGATTACAATTAAATTCTGCAAATGCTACATTATTAAGCGACCTCCGTCTAATTATATATTGTTATTGAATAATGTTTAATACTAGTTTTTTGAACAAAATACAATTAAAAATAAAAAATAATTTTTTTATTTTTATTTTGCAGACTTGATTCAATGTATTTTTAGCTTTGGACCGGACCCAATCTTGCTGTTTCACTGTTCCACTGAACTGTTCAATAATTCTTCCTATATGAGAAACAACAAAATGCTACTTCTTTAAAACTTGTAGTACAACTACAAAGTTGGTAAGTCCTACTAGCATAAAATATTTTTTATCTTAACTAAACGATATTATGTGTGGTTGCAGGTGAACCTCACTCGCAGCCACACTACCACACTATCAGCCTCCTCCATTTCCAAACCAAAATCCATCACAGAAAGGTTCAAAGTCCACCTAGAACTAGCCATGAATTTCGACCCTCTCCATTATGCATACAAAGAAACAAATATTATGATTTAGGAGGATGACCACGAATTCAGAGCATCATATATGTACAAATAACACCAAAGACATTCTAGTTGAATTATTATTATTATTTTTCGTGGCTCTTTTCAACTAGTTGATTTCCCCTTTCTATTAGCTTCCAAGTTTCAAACCAATTTTGAAAACCATTTTAAGTTGCACGAGAAGGCACGTGAATGATTTGATTAAACGTTCTAAATTATGCATGGAGGTTTACAGAATATTTAATCAGTCATTCTAAGTTATGGATATGATCTTTGCAAAGCAAGGACATAATAACTATTGTTTAATTATAACCATTTTAAAACTTGGTTTTTTTATTTAATTTGATTAATTTGACTTACATTATGAATGAAAATCTCTGCATATGCACTGAGGTTTTTGATAATATTGAAATTTTTGCTCTAAACCATGATAATCTCCACATCGGGGGGTAAAATCATCTTATATTATTAAGTCTTGATGCCTTTTATGTATAAGAAGAATGTGTATGTAGATGCTGGTGTGATTTTAAACTCCTTCAATTGCAAGCATGGATGATGTTTTCGTCACCAAATTTAAAACATTTTTTAATTTCTATACCTCCAGCATCTTCATTTTTTTTAATCAAAGATATATTTTTGCGTTGAAATAGAAAAGAGAGAGACTTTTACATCTCAGATTGTAGGGGAAGATGAAGTGTTTAAAAGAGACTATATACAGGGGCATTCAAAAATAAGAGATGTCATACAAGAAAGATCATGAGGCATGGCCAAATACTTGATATCTGTATATATATATATATATATATATATATATATATATATATATATATATATATATATATATATATATATATATATATATATAACATAGTGTTCGTACGAAGAACTAAGCAAGAAGAAATGAATTCACGTGGACATAATCTTACAAATGTATTTTATCATTCTTTTAGCTTTGAAATAGTGTAGTTGTTTTGTTTGAATTAGAGTTAATTTCATATTATAGTTATATAAATGCGGTGTACCGTAATTTTAAATATATATTTCGGATAAATACTTGATTGAATTTGATCTTAATACTCATTATTCAACTCGATAATATATTTAAATATAAGTTTTAATAACATTATTCACTATATGAGAATTTTTATGAAAGCCATTTATTTGTTTCTCTTTGATGAAAGTTTTATTTTCTCATAATATATCAAAAAAATATGCCTTAGTTATATTTCATCTTTTTAATAAGTTTAGTAATAAATATAACGGTCTTATTATTCCGAGGAGAGAAGAACCTATGATTAACTTTTCAGGAAATTTTCAAAAGAACAATTTCAACAAAATATTTCAATTTTTTATTTTACTATGGTCAACTCTATGTATTCCTCTATTTATAGAGTACATTGAATGTATAGAAATGACTATAATAGAGTTTCTCTTATTTGTATTGACAACTACTTTAGGAGGAATAATTTTATGCGGTCCTAACGATTTAATAACTATCTTTGTAACTTCAGAATGTTTCAGTTTATGCTCATACCTATTATTTAGATATACCAAAAAAGATGTACGGTCTAATAAGGCTACTATGAAATATTTACTCATGGGTGGGGTAAACTTTTCTATTCTAGTTCATGGTTTCTCTTGGCTGTATGGTTTGTTCGGGGGAGAGATCGAGCTTCAAGAAATAGTGAATGGTCTTATCAATACACAAATGTATAACTCCCCAGGAATTTCAATTGCGCTTATATTCATCACTGTAGGAATTGGGTTCAAGCTTTCCCCAACCCCTTCTCATCAATAGACTCCTGACGTATACAAAGGAGTGCGGTTCGTTCAAAAAATTCCTACCTCTTTATATATCTCTAAGATGTTTGGATTTTTCAAAACTCCATGGACATGCAAAAGAGAAATGCTATCTCCACTCGGACCAAGACATAACTTTTACTTGTTCAAATAACAATTAAGGTGAAGCAAGGTCAGGAACAACAAATCTCTTTATGATAAACATATTTATTTTGCAAGATTGTTATTACAAGTAGTCCTTACAAAGGATCAAACTAATGACATATACAATACTTAAATTTTCGATGTAGATGCTACATAGTTGGTTCTCATCCTTAAGAAACTACAAGTGTAATAGGAGCATCCATCGATAAAATAATCACCCTAAAAATGATCATCTCATAGCTATTGAGAACGAATCAAATCAACATATAATATAGGATTAACAGTTCTGAAACTATCAATGATTGGTAAACCTGGAGATATATTTGCAACTTTAAAAATATTATCTGAATGATATTTCTTTATATATATATAAAAGCATCATCCTAAATGTAAATAATAATAATAAAATCTAATTATCTTTTTAGGGTTAAAAATACTTTCGTTTATATTTTGAATTGTGATTGTGATACATTATACCTTTTAAAATAGTTTTTTAATTAAAAATATATAATTTTTTTTTTTAATTTTTAACATTAATATATTAAAACCATCATAAAATACTACATTTTTTTAATTGAACATCCTTTTTAAACTAAAATTACTTTTAAAAAATATCCCAAAACCAAAAGCACTCCTCAACAATCATCATGGCATCATAATTACACAAACGTAGAGAGCGCGTCTACGTGAAAAAAAGAGGGAATGGAGAATTCAAATTCCCGCTAGAGCTCAGTTTTTAAAAGACAATTAACCCTCCAAACGTCTTCTTCCTTTTCCTCTTCCTCTGTTCAAATTCCAAACCCCCGCCTACAATAAGTCAAACAACAAACCCTCTCTTCTCCAATCTCCGCCTTCCTTTTTAACGGTATTAACCTCTCTTCCCTTCCTCCCTCTTTTTATCAAATCAAATCCACAGTCCTTGCAGTTCCATTAACTGCATCAGATCTTCAGCCAAACAAGAAGATAATGGCCTTGTCTTATACCGATATCATAGATCCCCCTTCAAGGCATCACGCTTATAGCAGAAAACAGAAATCTCTCGGTCTCTTATGCACCAAGTTAATAAACCCATATTTCCCTCTTCCTTTCTTTCAAAAACCCAGAATTTTCCCGGAATTAAATTGATTTTTATTTGTTTATTTTGCAGTTTTTTGACCCTGTATAATCGAGATGACATTGACGTGATTGGACTTGATGATGCCGCTTCTAAATTAGGTTTTCATTATTTCTTTATTCGTTCCTGATTTTGAAAATTTACCGGTTATTATGGTTTAGATGTATTGATTTGTATTTTTTTTGGGTGGAATCTTGAATTCCTTTTTTAATGGGTTTGTGATTTGCAGGAGTTGAGAGAAGACGGATCTATGATATAGTGAATGTCTTGGAGAGTGTTGGGGTGAGATTCTTGATTTATCATGTTGTGATTTTTTAATGTTTGTTTTGTGAGTTCTCTTATATGTTTTTTCCCCTCTATTTTCTTTAGGTTCTTGCAAGAAAGGCGAAGAATAAGTATTCATGGAAGGGATTTGCTTCAGTCCCTAAAGCTTTACAAGATTTGAAGGTAATAGAAATAACCCAAAAAAATAAAATTTCAGGTTTTGTTTCGTATATTTGAGCTAGATAAGGGTTTTATGAAGTGTTGTTATTTTTCGAAAATTGGACTGATTTTATGTTGTTGGTGATATAATAGGAAGAGGGTTTGAGAGATAATGTCAATACAATTGATAGGCAAAGCAATAATTCCGCGAAAGTAAGTGATTTTTAAGGGTTTATTTATTCTTTCATCATGAATAAACTGTGTTTTAAAAAGGGTTTCTTTCTTTCGTTTTCATGTTGGGTTTTGGGTTAATCTGTATTTTGTGCGCGTGTTTTGAATTTTTAGGTTGCAAATGATGATGAGGACGAGGACGATGACTCTGATTCTAATCCTAACACAGGAAGCCAGAATGAGAATTCTGGTATTATCAAATCTACGGCTGTGTCAAGATCTGGTAATGTCCTCTCTTTTTTATGAACATATCTATACTGATGTTTTCTTTCTTTGTTTTGTCAGTATGTTACATCACCTGTACTCGTAATTTTTTTTCCTAGTATATGTATATGATTTAGAAAAGCAATTACTTCAACGAACTTACAAAGGTCCTTTAATTATTTATTCTTGTGATGTGTCAAACTGGAACTAGACCTTTGTTTTGTTCAAATTTTTTGGGTGGACTTCAGTTGTTGTCAGTTGGGTCATTAAGGAAACGGTGGATATTATACCCATCTACTTTTCTTGGCATCTTATAACAAGCTCAATTATTTTTGTTACAGATCATCGGAGAGAAAAGTCGTTGGGGCTTCTTACTCAGAACTTCGTGAAGCTCTTTGTGTGCTCCAACGTGAGTGAAATCTTAAAAAAGTTTAATTCTTAATAGGTCTTCTATGCCATTATCTGTTATTATGGTGCTTATGAGGGATTCATTTTTAGGCAAATTTGATCTCACTCGATGAATCTGCCAAGTTATTACTTGGAGATGGCCACAATTTGTCAATTATGAGAAGTAATTTTTCTCACCTTATCTACTTTTGAGAAGAGCTATTGGTGATCTACTTCTTTGATTTACATCCTCTGAATAACATGATTGTACAGCGAAAGTAAGGAGGCTATATGACATTGCAAATGTGTTGTCTTCTCTGAAACTTATTGAGAAGGTAATCACTTACGACACATACTTGTTGAAAAACTAAAAGGATCATGTTAGCATTTTTTACTCAAGCGCCAATACAATTCTTTGAAGTTCTGATGTTTATTAAATGTGTTGCAGACCCATACTGCTGATACAAGGAAACCTGCATTCAGATGGTTAGGCTTCAGAGGCAAATCAGAGAACGGATCTGGTGATCCTTTGGCTCCTTTTGAGTCTAAGAAGAGGACATTTGGAGCTGATATCACAAACACATGTTTCAAAAGAAACAAAATGGATTCTTCAGTTGACGGGGATAAAAGCCAGAATCTGAAGATGCAACAAATAAAAGATGAAAATACGGTAACTGTCGCCGAGAGAGGCTATTTTGGTCAGGATTTACAGCAGAAGTCGGGAAGTTTCCAGTTTGGCCCCTTTGCTCCTGTTAGCGTGGCCAAAGCGGGAAACCCTGAAGACAAACTGACTCGGGTCTATGATTGGGAGGGTCTTTCCTCTACTTTTCGTCCTCAATATCACAACCAAGGTACAATCTAATGCTTAGTTAAAAGTTCAGTGAAATACTTTGATCATATCAGTTTTCAAGTTCCAATTATTTGACGTTAGGTTCAGAAATCCATGTGCATCAGTGAACAACAAACACCCGTCTTACATAATCTGGTCAGCTTTTCATTTCATGTTTCCTTGTGATATCTTGCAATGAGTTGGACAGCTGATGATTCCCTTGCTGAGTTACCTGAAGGCATGAAAATTGTCAATAGGCTATTGTTTAGAATTATGCTAGTAGAGCTATACATCCAAGAAAAGCAAATAGGGTTTGCTTAGGTCATATCACTTTGTTTATCCACTACAGTGGATTGCTAAAATATCTGGACCCATTCCCTTGAGACCTCCACTTTTGAGCAATACTTCAGTCGTCCACTTTTTTTTTTCCTCGTCCTATCCACACTCTTTCACTTAGTTCTCTATTCTTGTTGTTAATCGTTTATCTTGATATGCCTTGTCATCCAATTGAATTTTCTTGTTGAATTTTTAGAACCCGAGTGTGGAAATATGAAAAGCTCATATGCTGAATTTTGCAGCTCTGAGAGATCTCTTTTCCCATTACACGGAAGCATGGAAATTATGGTACACTGAAGTTGCTGGGAAGAAACCATTACACATCTAATTTTTCCCACTACACGGAAGCATGGAAATCATGGTACACTGCAGTTGCTGAGAAGAAACCATTACACATCTCCTAATTTCTGAAACTTTGTGGCTCTGCTTTTCGCTATGACCAGTACAGTGTTGGGTTCTCAAAATTCTTCTTTTTGTACTTTTTAGGACAGAAGAAATGGCTTCAGGTTGGATGCACATTCCCCGTGCACCATCTTAGCATGGCCACGCAATGTTCTTTATCTGATGCATCGAAGCAAATAAATTTGAATATATGGTCTTTTCTCCGTAGGTTAACTAGCTACGAAGTTGCCTTCGATTGTGCAACATATCATTTTCTTCATGGAACAGCAGCTGTAGCACAATACTTTCCTGACTTTTATCTATCAAGAACTTGTTCTGCATCTCCTGGTTGTTTCAATACTCTTATGATGCCAGAAGGTATAAAAGATGATGATACAGATAAAGTCTGCAAATGTATAATTGAATGGAAGCTTCTCATCCCATCTAACACGGGATAGACGTCAATCACATTTACAGACACCCCCGATGTCTTCTGGTTCTCTTTTGGAAGTGATAGTCCATGAAGCATTCAACTTTGGGCAACAATGGCGAGTGGAATATCGTCATTGCACAAAGATTTTTTAAAAATCGTTAGACCGCAGCCGTAATTTGGCATATATCAAGACAATGGTTGTCTCAATAAAGTGAAAACTGTACTGTAAATATCTGGATCTATCCATATTTATGATCTTTTGCGCCATTAAACTATCAAGCTCACAATCTTTGGCAGGAAGGTGTCAAACAGCTAGAAATCAAATTTTGATATAAAATCTATAATTATATATATTGAATTGATATGCATGAACTCCTATGTTATGTAGCTTGTATCAATTTTAATTTTTTTTCATTATTGTACATTATGGAATATATTTGGTTTTGTAACTTATTTTGACAATTTTTCTTTCATTTTTATTCATCAAGATTTAAAGCTCTTGGTATTGTAAGTTCATGAAGAATTAAATAAATCAAATAAAATTTTGAAGAACTAGCATTTTTAAATAATTAAATAATTAGCAGTCTTAAAAGACTAATCTTTATTTTCTTTTATATTCATGATTTCATTTCAGAAGTTGTTTTTTTTTTTAGATAATATCAAATATAACAAAACTTGAATTTACCACTCTTAATATATCTGAGAATAATATTTTATCATAGATCTTTGACGTTGAGATTTATCTAGAAGTTATGAATCTTGGAGAGACTATCAAAAAAATAAATAACGCATTCTTGCAGGATTGCACAAAGCAATGATTTTCATTCGCCACTATCCCTACGAAGGATTAAAAGTTAAATATCTCATAATAAAAGATTTTTTTTATTATGTAGAAAAATCTAAAGAAAAGATATGACCACCAAAAGTTTATCGTCCTTTCTCAAGCTTGCTATGGTTGATTGCACATGAGATTGCAAGATTTTAAATCAGCTAGTAAATATAATTTAGTTCTTTTTAAAATTATCTCATAGCTAAAATTGTATGGTGAAAATATCATAGAAAATCAAATATTAGAGAAATATTCTCTACTTTTCATGCCTCAAATATTGTCCTACAACAACAATATAGATAATGTAATTTCAAGAGATATTTATAACTAATTTCATGTTTTTTTTTTGTTGCTGAACAAAATAATGAACTTTTGATGAAAAATTATCTATCACATCCCACAAGTTCTAAACCATTCCATGAAGTGAATGGAATCTTTGTCTAAAAAAACAAGAAAGAACCAAAGGGTATATATATGAAAAAATAAATGGAAAAAGAAGAAGAGATAATCCTTAATAAAAAAAACCCACCATACCACCATAAATGGAGACTCAATGAACCTAAACAAGAAAAGGGAAAAAATTTGCATAAACTTGAAGATAAGTGTTATAGATGTGACATGCATGGTCACTAGTCTTGCACTTATCGCACACCAAAACATCTTACAAACTTATATCAAGCTTCTTTAAAATAAAATGCAATTAAGACTAATTTTATTCACAAAGAAGATTTTAAAGGTTATAATATTTATCTTGATGTTTCTGTTTTCTTTGAAAACCCAGATAAAATAGATAGAATGGTTAGTGGGGGAATCCTTAGGAATGATTAATATTTTTTATTTATATTAGGATATTTATCTTATTGCAATTTTAATAAACAATGTCAATTTTATTTCAGTTAAATAATAAAATTTAATTATATTTTGAATAGAGATTTTTATTTTCCTGATGGAGATTTATGTTTAGCAGAAAGTGCAACAATGCACACAATTCTCAAGGAAAATAAATATTTTGAATATTTGATATTAACCAAAGCTAATGTCACTACAATATCAAGTTCAACAAACATGATTAAAGGCTCCACAAGAGCTAATATTTTATTACTAAATAACACAAAACTTGGCATAAAAAATGCAGTTGTAATGTTTTGAATTAATGAATTGAAAAATACAATAAAGCCCTTGGAGGTTTAAAAGTTGGAATAAATAAATGAAGGGTATAGTAGTAATTGAATAAAAAGATTATAAATATAAATACAAAGAAGAAAAAAAGAAAAGAAAAAGAGATCTGAATATTTTGAGAGAGAGAACCGTGAGAAAGAAGAAGAAGAAGAGAAAAGAGGAAAAATAGAAGGGAAATAAAAAGGAGTTGAAGAAATAAGTTTAAAGGCAAGATTTAGATTGTTGAATGTGTAAATGTATATTAATTGAACTTTAATTTTGGTTTTGATGAATGTTAGGGTTTTAAAAATTTATGTTTTGATTTTAATTGATGAATTAAATTGAATGTTATAAGATTAATTGTTGTGGATATTTGATTATTTAGTTGATTTTGAGAGACTGAATTGAAAGATAATGATTTTGAGTTATGATTTTGTTCGAACGGTGAATTTGTGTTAGAAATAAGAAAAGAACAGTGGGTTTTCTGTTAAAATTCTGGGTTGGAGGTTGAAGAAGACAAAATTTCGGTTTGGTCCCTCAATTTTGGAAAATTACAGTTTAGTCCCCAAACTTTGGAAAATTACAGATTGGTCCCTGGAACATATTCTGAGATTCTGAACAGAATAACATGTGAATTATGGGAAAAATTACTCTCGGTTTAAGGTTGAAGATGATAAAATTTCAGTTTGGTCCCTTAATTTGTGAAAATTATAGTTTAGTTCCTAAACTTTGGAAGATGACAAATTGGTCGAGCATAATTAGAGATTCTGGACAAAAATGAGAATGAATTATGGATATAGTTCCACTGTAATCTTGAGTTTGTGATATTTATTAGTTTGGTCCTCTATTTGACAAAAATTACAATTTGATCCTAAAAATTTGGAAAAATTCCAGAATGGTCCCTGGAGCATAATTAGAGGTTCTGG